ATCCGCAGGTGGGCCAAGGGGCGGAGCCGCCGCGCCTGGCCCGCTTCAGGTCCGGAGAGCGTGTCTGAAGACCCCAGCGTGCGCACCAAAAGTTGCCTCTTCTCCTGACTTTCTCTTCAGCCATTGGGACCAAGAGAGAGAGAGAGAGAGAGCCCCTCCGGCTGGAGGTATCTCCCACCTCTGCTCCCTCCTTTGTTTTTGCGCCTACCTTCAGGAAAGGTGGGCATCTCCACCTCTGTCTCTCTCTCTCTCTCTCGGTCCCAATGGCTGAGGAGAAAGTCAGGAGAAGAGGTGACTTTTGGTGCACACGCCGGGGTCTTCAGGCACGCCTCCGGACCCAAAGCGGGCCAGGCAAGGGAGCAAGTGCGGCAAGTGTAGTTACTGGGATGTATAGTTCACCTACAATCAAAGAGCATTCTGAACTCCACCAATGATGGAATTGAACCAAATATGGCACAAAGAACCCCCATGACGAACAGAAATATATATCAATGATTGGTTGGGGGGGGGCACCAAAATACTGTTTGCTTACCATTGAAAATTACCTAGGGCCGCCTCTGCCTACAACTGGGAAATTTCTCAACGTGATAAGGTGGTAAGTTCAGCTGAGCTCTTATGGCAAATCTCCCTTATTTAAAGAATCTACTTTTGATATTTTCTCTGCAAGTCTTCCAGAGAAAAGAATTAAAAACTTACATAGGAGCTTGCAGCAAACATGAGTGTTCATAGAGCTTTTCTTTAACTATGTAAGAGCCATAATAATCAGTCCCTGTTAAGGGTGAAATGAAATTATGAATTTCAACAGGACTGATGCCACAAAGAATGGAATAGCAGCTGTTTAGTAACTCAACAAGATCACTTTGTTAAAAGTAAAGGTAAAGGTTTTCCCCTGACATTAAGTCCAGTCATGTCCAACTCTGGAGGCTGGTGTTCATCTCCATTTCTGAGCTAAAGAGCCAACATTTTCCGTAGACACCTCCAAGGTCATGTGGTTGGCATGACTACATGGAGTGCCGTTACCTTCCCACAGGAGCGGTACCTATTGATCTACTCACATTTGCATGCTTTCGAACTGCTAGGTTGGCAGAAGCTGGGGATAATAGCGGGAGCTCATCCTGCTCCCTGAATTCAAACCTGTGACCAGCAAGTTCAGCAGCTCAGGGCTTTAACCCACTGCGCCACCAGGGGCTCCGATCACTTTGATAGCAGGACATATACAGATCCCACTTGTCGGTTCCTATGCTCCAGTGGTTCTCAACCTGGGGTCCCCAGATGTTTTTGGCCTACAACTCCCAGAAATCCCAGCCAGTTGACCAGCTGTTAGGATTTCTGGGACCCAGGGTTGCGAACCACTGCTATACTCAGACCTACAAACGTGAAACCTATATGACATACCAACTTTTACTGTAGCTGGCTAGAAATTTGATGCCTATTTTGGGACAATGAAAAATAAATGCTTTTTCCCCTCTACCCAGTATCTCCAGACTTTCTTTATAGAATGCCACAATGCTGGCACAGAATGTATATCTTCTTGCCATGCCCTGAATACAAGGCACATAATCTGGGATAGCTTTTGGCATCCTTGCAAGCCACATCCAATACTGGCTATGTGAAGTGGTCCTATGCCTGCAGGCAGAGAAGGTATGGGAAGACTGTAAATGTTTCTCAGATGACTTCTTGATCCACATACTAAGTGCCTTAAAGTTATTCCACCCCTGCTGTCATGGTTTACCAGAGTAAAAAGGCCACACATCAGCCTAAACTGAGCACACTTTCCACAACAGTCCCCATAAATCCCCCAAATTGAAGCAACGACCCCCAATATTGGCAAGACACATGCTGTATTTGGCAAAGAAACTTTCCAGAAACTTTGTTGTGGGATGCAGCAAGGGACTAAAGAGAAAAGCCCTGCTGCTTTGCCCTAATCTTAACCCAAATAGCAAAGGCAGCCCACACCCTCTGACAGGCAGTAGCTGCAACTAATCAACTTCACCACATGGTTAGCTCATAATGCCCTGATCTCTAAAGCAATAAACAGAGTCTGATGCGGTGGGTGGGTTCAGGTTGCTGTGGGAACCTGCAAAGCCTCTCAAATCTGCTTTCCATTGACATGCAGTGTAATATATAGAAACTGATACAATATAAATGCCTGTTACTATTGATTTCCCCTAAAGCAACAGTGCACTGAGGACCTCTTTACCCGAGCCACCAGAATCGCCATGCATTATGGCACATCCAGTGGTGAACCGTCGGCCCATGCAACTTGACAATCGTCACATCCCATGAAGGGGAAGTGGTAGCTGCCCGGCTTCCCTCCATTGTCTCAAAAGCAACATGGGAAGCCTCCCAGGTTGTTGCTGCAGTGGCATATGCCCGATCTTCTATAGTTCTACAATGGAGCCCCACCGGAAGTAGTTCAACGTCGTCTGATAGGAGCCAGAACGCTTTGTCATAAAACTATACAAGATCCACCTCATGCAGCCAAAATTAAGCCTGTCTGATGAGGCATTAGTGCCATTTCGTTCATGCTGCACCAACTCTCATAATATGTCATGATGGTGGCTTCTCATATTTTGTATTGCTTCTCATAGCGTTCACCACTTTGGGTCACTTTTAAGAGAGAAAAAGTAAGATATAAATATGAAGATGGTGATGGTAGTCATCATCATCATTCTCACTGAGTTTTGTAGAGAACAAGTAGGCAAGGATGATGTGAATAAAATCTCTGTAGCTATAATAACTGATTAGGCCTCCCGACACACTCACTATCACAGTTAAATAAAGTCCACCACCTCTCAAGACACTGTATAACACTGTCAAGAAGGTCTAAATTTTCATCTAAATCCTTTTCTTCTTATAGTTCAGGTACTACTGTCTGGAACTGGAGGAGGAATTAATACTCCTATATCTTTGTAACAGTCTTTCAAATATCTGGTGATGGATTTATTTTCATGCATTTAAATATTGCCTGTAGCAATAAAACTGTTTTGATGTTGTTGCACAGATAAGTAGTACAGCTCACAATTTCTCTGGACCTCAAAAAGCATGAAATCTGTTTTTAATAGAAAGGTATTACAAATGGGAAAACCATAAAAACAAGTACAAAGTGATCACTAATTGGTTTAAGGATGCCCTTAATCATGATATCAGTCAGTCGTCTGACAAATGGTTGTGGTATAATGAGCAGTCCTTTAAAATAGCCAAAGGGGAAGAGCTTAGAACTTTTTTTTTTCTCCACCATTCGCTATCTAATCTTATGGTCATGCTACTCCAGCCGTTTCCTCTAATCAAATCATCAACACACCACCTCTCTCTCAATCTCAATTTCTGTCTCTCTCTATATGTGTGTGTATACTCTATATATATATATATATATATATATACACACACACACACACACACACACACATACATATATGCATACACACAAGTCTACTCAATAGACTTTTTTTAAACAAAAAGCCATCAGAAACAGTGTTTTCTTCCGCCACGTTGATGACACAAAGGATCAAATTCAACTAAGCAAAAACAGAAGACCCTTAATCATTGCAAATGCATCTCTCTTCAAAATACCCAGGTTATCTTTCTCTGCTAATCGGTTCTGCTCTCCACCATTATCCAGACAAATCCAGACAAGACAGAGGTACTCCTGGTCAGTCGAAAGGCCGAACAGGGGATAGGGTTACAGCCTGTGTTAGATGGGGTTACACTCCCCCTGAAGACACCGGTTCGCAGTTTGGGAGTGATCCTGGACTCATCGCTGAGCCTGGAACCGCAGGTCTCGGCGGTAGCTGGGAGAGCTTTAGCACAATTAAAACTTGTGCGCCAGCTGCACCTGTTCCTTGAGAAGTCTGACTTGGCCATGGTGTTCCATGCTCTTGTTACATCCCAAATAGGCTACGGCAATGCACTCTACGTGGGGCTGCCTTTGAAGACTGCCCGGAAGCTTCAACTAGTCCAATGGTCAACAGCCAGGTTGCTCACCAGAGCGACGTACAGGGAACTTACAACTCCTTTGTTACGCCAACTCCACTGGCTACCGATCAGCTTCCAAGCACAATTCAAAGTGCTGGTTTTAACCTTTAAAGCCCTGAATGGTTCTGGCCCAGATTACCTGTCCAAACGTATCTCCTGCCACGAACCATCACGAAGTTTAAGATCTTCAGGAGAGGCCCTGCTCTCGATCCCACCACTATCGCAAACACAGTTGATGGGGATGAGAGACAGGGCCTTCTCAGCAGTGACCTCCCACCTATGAAACACCCTCCTTAGAGATATCAGATTGGCCACCTCCCTCATCTTTTAGAAGGAAAATCAAGACCTGGTTATGGGACCAAGCATTTGATCAGTGAGCAGCAAGTGGAAGAAGATCACACAACTTATGGCAATGAATTGACCCGGACTGGTTTTTGGATTTCGATTTTAATGGATGTGCCTTAATTAATTGTTTTAATTGTTGTTTTAATTTTTAATATTTTGATTGCACTGTGGTTGTTTTTATGATGCTAGCATTGTATGATGCTTTTGTTAGGACGCCCTGAGTCCCCCCTCAGGGGGGGAGAAGGGCGGGGTATAAATATAGGAAATAAATAAATAAATAAATTATCCAATTCATGACTACTGCTGTCTGTGCTCAATCAGAGTGTTTCTAATATCTGCAATGTTTCAATGCTCTTACAGATCTCAAATGTAGAGCTTGTTTCCAAAATATACCAAATCCATCTGAACAAATTTTACAGGAACGGGGGGGATGTTGAGCGTATGCATTCTTTTGCAATAAAAAGCCATTTTCCAAGCCCTGCACCAAAATGATTTGATAAGTTTTGATAGATATGAACAGCAAATAATATTCTACTCCTAGACAACAATGTGCTGCTACCAACACCTCATTTTTCAATGTTTTTTTAATGGTCTAGCGGCTATGATTCTAACAGCACAAAACAATTAGAAGACAGGTATAGTTTATCTTGCTATAAAAGTTAAAGATAAATTGATCTCACCTTAGAAGAATCACATTGTTTGACATAAAGGCTCCAATTGTCACATCTGGGGAACAAAAGTGGAAGGGGGAATTATAATCAAGTGTGACCATGCAATATCCTTACCCACAATGTATTGTTAACCTTTTGTCCTTTTGCAATATCATGTTCCACTGTTAACATAAATATATTTTAAGTATCTCAACATACTTTTCAATGCTTTTTAAAATTCACATCATTTGACTTCTCTTTTTTTATCTTTTTGCTCCAGATTGCTTAATCAAGAGCAGAAACACGTTTATTTTTGTTCAGAACTATTCTAAACTTAAAAACTGTATACAATTACCAAAGGAAAAATAAACATGTTCAGGAAACATCTATTTTTTTAAATTGAGATAACAAAGAAACATGGAAGGATGTGCATTCTTGGACTTTTAATTAGCCATTTGTAAATTCTCCCACTCATGTTATATCTTAGCTGGCATTAATATTCTTGCCGGTGCTCAAAACTTACCTGGGTAACCATTCCCATCCATATCAACACCTCCTGAAATCGACTGGCCAAACATCTGCAGTCTTGGGCTTAACTGTTTTCCTGGTATTCTCTGTAACAGAAACACAGGACTGGAATAAACAGATGCAAGTAAAAAAGAACTGTTGCATTTTAAATGCTTAAGGATGAATGAGAAATGTATTGCCGTTTGTTTCTGATGTGAATTACCAAATGGTGGAAATCTCATATCTGGGATGGAAAGAATTTGAGATATATATATATTTTTAATGAATGTAGAGAGAGCTGAAATTAGCAGATCCATCAAGACTCCAGGATTCTGAATGCTAAACTCTGAGGCCCCTTCTACACTGCCATAGAAAATCCAGATTATCTGCTTTGAACTGGATTATAGGACATATAATCCAGTTCAAAGCAGACAATCTGGTTTATCTGCTTTGATAATCTGGATTACATGACAGTGTAGAAAGAGCCCGAGTCTATATGAGTCTACACTACATGAAATCCAATTCAAAGCAGCACCGGGACTGTGGCGCGGCTGGTTGGGAGTCAGCTGCATTAAGATCACTACTGACTGAAAGGTCATGAGTTCGAAGCCAGCCCGGGTCGGAGTGAGCTTCCGACCAATTGTGTAGCTTGTTGTCGACCTTTGCAACCCGAAAGACAAGTTGCATCTGTCAAGTAGGAAAATTAGGTACCACCTTAAAAAGTGTGGGGAGGCTAAATTAACTAATTACGAGGCCATAAAAATCTCCAGGAAGTATGCAAAGAATGAGGAAGCGACAGCTCCCCTGGTGGCCAGAAGCTGGAATGTTAAATAGCCTCTGAGTGTCTGTCTATATATGATGTGTGTCTATGGCATTGAATGTTTGCCATGTATATGTACATTGTAATCCGCCCTGAGTCCCCTGAAGGGTGAGAAGGGCAGAACATAAATGCTGTAAATAAATAAATAAATAATCTGGGATCAAAAACTGTATTATATGGCAGTGTACATCGAGCCTCAGAAGTCTGTCTTTAAACCTCTATATATTCAACTATGCTGATGTTCAATTGGAGGCCTAAATCCAATTGTATGATTTAGGGAAGGAATCCAATTTCTCTTACTTGAGAAGCTTGGCATCAGAAATGTATGTACTGCAGGAAAGTAGGACATGTTTATTTCCATGCTAGAAATATCTTATGATGAAAATTGTTTTTGATGGATTTTTGCAGTGCTCTTCACACTCTGGATGGAAAGATCTTAAAGTTCTAAGATAACCTTTAAAAATCGCAAACCAGAGAAAATGTAATCGAACAAGTTGGCTATTTCCTTATATCACCCATTGAATGTGATGAAAAATCTCAAATGACAAAAGTATTTTAATGCTACTGAATTGCATAGTGCTCCAGGCACAATATCCAGGTCTCACTGATGACTTAGAAATAAGTGCAACATCGATGAATAAGATTTTTTTTGTGCTCACAATTAACTCAATAATATTAATTTAAATGAGTCTCAATCTATATAAAATTAATATTGACTTAAATATTAAGAAAATGACAGGTATGGATACATACAGTGGGGGAAAAGTATTTAGTCAGCTACCAATTGTACAAGTTATCCCACTTAAAAAGATGAAAGAGGTCTGTAATTGACATCATAGGTAGACCTTAACTATGAGACACAACATGAGAAAACACATCCAGAAAATCACATTGTCTGATTTTTAACTAATTTATTTGCAAATTACAGTGGAAAATAAGTATTTAGTTCATAACAAAAGTTCATCTCAATACTTTGCTGTATATCCTTTATTGGCAATGACAAGAGGTCAAATGTTTTCTGTAAGTCCTCACAAGGTTGGCACACACTGTTGCTGGTATGTTGACCCATTCTCCATGAAGATCTCCTCAAGAGCAGTGATGTTTTAGAGGTGTCATTGGGCAACATGGACTTTCAACTTCCTCCAAAGGTTTTCTATAGGGTTAAGATCTGAAGACTGGCGAGGCCACTCCAGGACCTTGAAATGCTTCTTTCTCATGTTGTCTCTCATAGTTGAGGTCTACCTATGATGTCAATTACAGGCCTCTCTCATCTTTTTAAGTGGGAGAACTTGTACAATTGGTATCTGACTAAATACTTTTTCCTCACTGTATTTTAAACCCAAGTGTTGGAGGCAAAATATCTGAGGGAATGTATATTTTAGGATGAGGAAGGCGGCAAGAGGGTCGTTCCACACATCAATCACACTTCTTTCCTTGAAAATAGTGATGAATCCATTTTCACTACTTTATAATTCCCTCAAATGCATAACATTTTTACCAGTGAAAAATTCAGCCAGTTTGAAGTGAGAAAAACAACAATGAGTTCTTGATTTGGAAACATCACACATGAGGTGTCTCAAGATTTTAAACTTAAAGAGGAATAAATGTGTGCTCAGTAGGAAGCTCTTAAAGGTACTTTCACACTATACAGTTATAGTGGACTTTTGGTATATACTAGGGTTTGCTTCCAGAACCATTGTGGACACCCAAATCTGTGGATGCTCAAGTCCCACTATATACTATGACAGAGTAAAATAGTGTTCCTTATAAAAATAGCAAAATCAAGGTTTGCTTTTGAAACTTTTAAAAAAATATCCACCTGTGGATTGTTGAAACTGTGTATACAAAATCTACAGATAAGAAAGGCCAGCTATATAATACTATGATTCCCTTTTATTGCTATGGCTGCATAGATGAAATCCTGACATTTGCAGTTTGTGAAAGGATGTTTAGAATTCTCAGCCAGAATTTCACAGCATGCAACATGGTAATAATTACCATGGAATCATAGTGCTATAAAGACACTATGTGAAATGCCCGAACAAGTCTAGTGGCTCAATAAGCAGAATACAGACAGACAATTTCATCTAGCCTTTCCTTGCTTAACAATTCAGTGAATGGATTGCTTCATTTCAACTTATTAGCACAGTCCATCCCAAAGGCCACCACACAAAACCCCATAGACTAGGGGTCCCCAAACTAAGGCCTGTGGACCAAATGCCAAATGACTCCAAGGTCATTTCCATTCCCCTCCCCTGCCTGAAACTATAGACTTAAGGGTGCCCGAAGTCTGAAACAACTGGAAGGCACACAACAACAATCCTAGGTAACCGGACTATAATCACAGTCAAAATCAGGCCCACAATTCCCATAACTGGTACGTTTATGTTGGCTAAAATTGTGTTGTCGAAGGCTTTTAAGCATTCTCTCCAGATGTTTCACCCACATCTATGGCAGGCATCCTCAGGGTGGGAGAAAGAACTCTTGTCTGTTTGAGGCAAGTGTGAATGTTGCAATTGGCCAACTTGATTAGCACTGAACAACCTTGTAGCTTCAAACTCTGGCTGCTTCCTGCCTGGGGGAATCTTTTGTTGGGAGATGTTAACTGGCTCTAATTGTTAAATGTCTGGAATTCCCCTGTTTTCTGAGTGTTGTTCTTTAAATATTGTAAAAAATATGTGGAGGTCCATAGGAATTAGTTCATTTTTTTCTTTTTTTTCTTTTTTAATCTATTTTTATTAGAATTAAAAGTGTCTCCAACTAGAGTGGAGAAAAAATAAATAAATAAAATGCTTTACAATTAAAAATTACATATTTTTCTTTTAAACTATTGTCCAGCCCCTCAATAGCCTGGGGGGATGGCGAACCAGCTCCCTGCTTTAACAGTTTGAGGACCCCCTTACCCATCATGATCATCATCATTGTCTATCACTCATGGCCAAGTATGAGTGCTTTCCAAATGTAGAGTCTTGGTGGTGGGTACATAGGTGACTGTAGAAACCTATTCCTGACCCCTACCATAAACCATGGTGTCTCCATTGGAAGGAAGTGTCCTTCACTTCCAATTTAGTGACAAATCATCAATCTAGCAATGTGTGCACAGGCAAATATTAAGAGACTGAAACAAGAAATATCAAGTACCATTAAAACATGCTAAAATTAACTGGAAAAGGCAAAATACAAACTTAAAGAAATGAGATCTTAAGTCGACTCTCTGAAAAAGAAATAAAGAAAAACCCTTGGAATTGATAGCATGAGGCAACAAAAAGCAGTTGAACTCCTCAAATTACAGCTCCCTGAGAGAATGGGGGTATGCTTTTGCGGGGGGTCCCTATTAGGGTGGCAAGCCAGGGCTATACATATCCCACAGACATCTGCAGGCTATTAGAGTATAAGGATTGGAGTATAATGCGGTACAGCTTGGAGGGCTATGAACAAAACCAATGATCCTGAAACCGAGCTTGATAATATTTATTTAGCATCCAGATTTCCTTGCAAGCCAATTAGGGCACCTCAGCTGTATTCTGGATCGATCTTGCTGTCGCTGAGATAAGAAAGCATCACTTTGAAAGTGTCCCATGATCTAAACATCTGCCCATTTTCTTCTCACTGTTATGTGAAAGAGAGATTGAGAGAGGGAAATGCATCGTCGGTTTAAAGTAACAGTAATAGGACACAAAGCCTTTCACCTCAAGGTTACTGGTTCAAACAGAGGCTAGGTAGACAGACAGGACAGATTAAACATCTGAAAACTGTTTAATGGATTCCTAAGCAGAATGAATGGCTAACCTTCCAACCTGTATTCTGTGAACAGCAATACAATACAGCTCTTAACACCGTGAACCAGAAAAACATAGAGAGAGAGAGAGAGATTAAGGGAAAATGTAATGGAAAAGTGTTGGCAGGAGCCTACGTTGAAGAAGATCTCAAAAGCCAGACTAATCTGGTGAGAGACAGCAGTCAGCTTGACTGCTTCCTAATGAGACTCTGAGTCCTTATGAAACTCCTATATGACCTCAACTATGTAAAAAGAAACAAATAGCATCTATCTATTCCTATCAGGACATTCTCAAGCAAAATAACATAACGTACTTGCATTGGTTCAGCCATCCCTCAGCCTTTCTCTAAAAACAGAGGGAAAAATCCTACATATGCCACAAATTATCACTTGTAGAAAACATCATAAAAATGGATTTAGTTTGCATTCCTTTTCCAAAAAAATAATAAACTTAATGCATTCTTAATACAGCCAGCACACAGCAGAACTAATCGCCTACAGATTAGTTT